CAAGTATGAGTTTAACCTGCTGCAGTAGCCAGAGCGAAGTTGGGCTATTGTTGTTCTTGTCTCCCGAGGCAGATGGAGCTCCGTCACGGAGAACGGCATTCACAGGTCTAGAGTCTACATAACTCGAGACTGAGTCCCTGTGAATGCCGTTCAGGGCCTGTCGGTATGCTGACGGACGGGTCCAGAGGCTGCTTAATGAACCTCTGGACTTCGTCCGTCAGTTCGTAAAGATGCCTCCTGACGTGCCTAGGGGAGGGCTCCTCTGCAAGCAGCTGTCTGTTTGGGTGGCCAAATCTGTGGCTCCCAACCAGAAACTGCTTGCAGAGCATTGTGTTATGCTCATTGATTGGGAGCATTTTCGCCTCGTCATGTAGGTGGTGTTCAAGTGACATCAGGAGGCATCCAGTCGCTGTCCTGAGTGCGGTGTTCTGTGTTGTCTGTAGCTTCATCCACTGCGTCCTACTAGTCCCCGGCGACCACACTGGTGCTGCGTATTTTAAAACCGGCCGGCCTATTGCCTTGTATGTTGCCAGCAACGTTTCTTTGTCTTTGCCCCAGGTACTGCCGGCTAGTGACTTGAGCACCTTGTTGCGGCTCTGTACTTTGTTGCCAATAGCGGTTGCGTGCGCAGAGAAGGAGAGCAGGCTGTCGAATGTTACTCCGAGTATTATGGGGTTATTCACCGTCGGAATCGGTGTATCATCTACGTGAATTCCCAGCGGTAGCCTGACCTCCTTCGTCCAGGTGGTGAACAACGTCACAGAGGATTTCGTAGGGGAGAGGGCTAGACACTTTGCAGTGAAGAAGCGAGAAAGATCTGAGAGATACCCGTTTACTTTCGAACACAAGTCATCAATTCCATTCCCAGTCGCCATAATCGAGCAATCGTCGGCGTAAGAGACAATCTGGTGGTTGAGGGAGCTTTGAAATATAAAAGTTGAACAGTAGCGCGGAAAGGATACTACCCTGTGGAACCCCCTGTTTTATTTTCCTAAGTTTGCTCGATTTGTCTGTAAACATTACCGACGAGTGTCGACCACTCAGATAATTTTCCGTCCACCGTTTGAGCCTCTGTGGGAGAGAGGAAGCCTCTATATCTTCTAGTAGCGTGAAATGGCTGACAGTGTCAAACGCCTTTGACAGGTCCAACGCTACTAGAATCGTTCTCTCACAGGGACGGTTACGATTAAGGCCACGAGTTATCTGAGTGTTTATGGCGTTAAGTGCTGTTGTTGTACTGTGCACTTTACGGAAACCATGCTGATGCTTCGCTGGGGTCAGGTGGTTTGTGAAGTACGGGAGTAGCAAGGCCTCGAGTGTCTTCGCTACCGGGGAAAGGAGTGTAATCGGACGATACGAATCTCCTTTGTTGGCGGGTTTCCCCGGTTTGAGCAGTGGGACCACTCTCCCCACCTTCCAGATGTCTGGGATGATGAGAGTGGCCATAGACAAATTGAGGACCTCCGTTAGGTACGCTACTCCCGCAGGACCCAAACAAATACGGGAGCAGCAAGGCCTCTAGGGGGGACCCATGGCTTTGGAGGCTTTCGCCTTCCCGATGGCCACCTGAACTTCACCGCAAGTGAAAGCAAGGGGGGCACAGGTTGTTGGCAGTTTGTGCAGCCTTCTGGTCACTCGACGCTTGGCTTTGTCCACCGGAGGATGCAGTATGAACTGCCGGCTAAAATAGCTCGCGCATCGCTCCGGGTCCGACGAAGCATGGTCGCCGAAAGAAATTTCGACTCTGTCGTCGTGCTTCGTCGGATTGGACAGTGACCTCACGGTTGACCAAAGCTTACTCACACCAGAGGTGAAGTTACAGGTCTTCAGATGCTCTTCCCACTTCTTCCGCTTATGTACGTTCACTAGTTGCCGAATCTCCGCGTTGAGATCCCTGATACGGGGATCTCCGAGAACCGCCTGACGAAGGCTGTCACGCTCATCAGCTAGAACAGCCGCTTCGGCAGGGAAATTTGGACGTGGGTCTGTAATGCATCCTGCCTGTACGAAGCGAGCTGTAGCAGCGGTGACAGCCCTGCGGAACTTACGTTCACCAAGGTGGACGTCGGTTGGTGTAGGGAGAGCAGCGCGGGTGTTTTCAATAAATTCCGCGAAGCCTTCCCAATCAGCTTTAGAGAAGTTGATATAGGTTCGGTGCTCCGCGGGAGCAAAGTCGGTTGGTTTATCGATCGAGATGACTATGGGCAGNCGGGTGTTTTCAATAAATTCCGCGAAGCCTTCCCAATCAGCTTTAGAGAAGTTGATATAGGTTCGGTGCTCCGCGGGAGCAAAGTCGGTTGGTTTATCGATCGAGATGACTATGGGCAGATGGTCTGATGCCAAAGTCAGCATAGGTCGCCATGATATGCTGTTTATCAGACCAGCGCTGACTATTGTTATGTCTGGCGAGCTGCAGCAGCTGCCCATAATCCTGGGGGGTGCGTCGTCGTTCATTGTGCAGAATGTCGAATCGACTATCTGCTCAGCCAAATCGGTTCCCCTACGATCGTTTGACAGGCTTAAGTGCCAAATATCGTGGTGAGCATTAAAGTCACCTACTACCATCCGGTTTTCACCTCTGAGGAGCGCACCTATATCAGGGTGATATCCTGCCGCGCAGCTGGTGACAGGGGGTATGCATACGTTGAATATTTCGCCAATTGGAAACGCCAAGTGAAGCCAAGTCCTTCTCCACCTGCTCTTTCCATCGCAGTGGGGGCCTTCCTCTTTCTCTGCTACCACCAGCGGGTTCCGAGTTGAATACTTTCAGAGCTGGAGCATCAGTGTCCATTCGAACGACATGGCCAAGCCAGCGGAGCCGCTGTATTTTAATTCGCTGCACTATGTCCATGTCGTTGTATAGCTCACACAGCTCATCGTTTCATCGTCTGCGGTACTCGCCGTCGCCAACCCGTAAAGGCCCGTAAATCTTCCGCAAAATCTTTCTCCCGAACACTTCAAGAGCCGCCTCATCGGATGTTGTCATTGTCCATGCTTCTGCGCCATATACCAGCACGGGCATGATGAGTGACGTATAGAGCGTTTTCGTACGTCGAGAGAGGACTTTACTTTTCAATTGCCTACTAAGTCCAAAGTAGCACTTGTTGGCAAGCGTGATTCTCCGTTGGATTTCAAGGCTGACATTATTATTGGTGTTAATGCTGGTTCCCAAATAAACGAAGTCGTCTACTTTTTTAAACTTGTAACTGGCAACAGTGACGTGGATGCCAAGACGCGTATGCTCTGACTGTTTGTGTGATGACAGGAGATACTTCGTTTTGTCCTCGTTCACCACCAGACCCATTCGCTTTGCTTCTCTATCCAATCCCGCGAAAACAGAGCAGACGTAGCCCTCGTGTTTACTGATAATATCGATGTCGTCGGCATACGCCAGCAATTGTACGCTCTTGTAAAGTATTGTGCCTGAGCGGTTCAGTTCGCCGGCTCTTATTATCTTCTCCAACATCAGATTAAAGAAATCACTCGAAAGGGCGTCACCCTGTCTGAAACCTCGTTTGGTATCAAAAGGCTCGGAGAGGTCCTTCCCTATTCTGACGGAGCTTGTGGTATTGCTCAACGTCGTTTTACACAGCCGTATTAGTTTTGCGGGGATACCAAATTCAGACATCGCGGCATAAAGGCAACTTCTCTTCGTGCCCTTTTTGCTTAATTCCGTACTCGGGAGTTACCATTCTTAAATTTTCCCGTATTTGATTCTAAAATTGAAGACCCCAGCCCGCGCCCACTTATAGTTTTTAAGTAATTTGTTGTTGAAGTTGCCAAATTCACCAAATATGTTGATGCAAATTGCATCGATTTTATCATCCAAAAGTGCGTGAAATAGATAAATGTGACTTAAATGTAAGCACTGTTATTGCACATGACCATTTTCTTTTAAGTAATATGCTATTTTTGTTAATTTAAACACGATAAAACATTTAAAAAAGTAGTGAAGTAGTAAACATGCGAGGGTTGCAACTAAACACCGAAGTTAGTGCTGCCAGACTATTTATCATCACAATTTTTACTTGCGTCCACAGTATTTTTGCGTAGAATTCCTTTCTGCGTAGGCGGCCTTCGGCCGCGCTTTAGGATTATAACCCTTACCAAATAGAATTCTCCTTTTGGTGTGCACCTTGGGAAAGGATGAGGTAAGAGAATTCCCTTTCTGTGTAGTAAACCAGTGATGTCTTTTATGGGGACTGGTTACCCTTTTTTTTTAGGTTCTTAAATTTTTTTAAATAGAGCCGCAGGCGATCACGCGATTTTTTATTCCAAATTTTCCCCTTTTTAAATATTTTATATTATAAAAAATATCGACGCAGGCGTAAATATTTGCTATTTTGTTATTATTATGTATTTTCCAAAGAAAAACATACATACATTTTTGTCAAAAAAATGGTGATATTTGAAATTTTTTTTGAGGTTGTCATTTAAAAAGCACATATTCAAACCTACCCTTATGTTATGGAGGTCATTATGAAATATAAGTTGGGTATTTTACTGTCCCCAATATTCGAACACCCTTCTGTTTGGGTAATACAGCCATTTTGATTTGTTTGCTTGCTTACTTTGTTGAAGAAAAGTAGTGAAATGGTTAAACGCGTTTTATATTGTTAAAAAATAAAATAAAATACATTTATTGTAAACAAATCACAGGTGAACATTGAAAAGATCGTGAATTTATGCAAGTACAAGTGACAGCTGCTCTTTTTATATGAAAATTTGCTAATGGAAGTGCAAAAAATTTAATCAACAAATTACTTAAATACTAGTATTAAAAAAGTGAAAATAGTGCGAATTTATGTAAACATATATGTTTCTTAGAATCCTCGTAAAGTTTCAGGAGAAAATTCGTTATAGTTTTGCTAAAACACACACATGTCGATGTACACTAAAATCAACCCATTTATAGACCGTTGACTTAGGAATTCTATAGTGGCAAACATTACCATGCTATGTTCAGGTGTGATACATTAGCAAATTCCATATTTTATTCTATGACGTCGAGTTAGAAATCGCCAGAACTTTACCAACTATAATTTTCAGGTCGAAGCTACATTGCCGGACTGCAATCACTTCAACCAGAAGCCGTGTTATCTTCCCATCAAAGATGCGATATGCACTTATGCTTGCGAGAACCGTTTGCCGTGTGGTCATATGTGCCAGCTTAAGTGTCATGTTAACAAAGACCCGGAACATATCGAGGTACATATATGTATGTATATGGAGTTTGCTTAAATTAAATGTATCCTACTTATGTTTTTGAGCAAATTGTTAAAACTAGTGCGATAATTGAAGATGCACCGTGAATGTTTTATTTTTCATTATTGATTTAAAATTAGGTTTTCAGTACAAGTGCTACAGAGATTGCGATCGGATTAATGACAATTGTGTGGAAAATCACACGTGTAAGAAACAATACTTCGAAGAATGCGAACTGTGTCCAAAAATTGTTGCGAAAACTCGCTCTTGCGGACATCATTTCAAGCAATTTGTGTGCTCGAAGAATGTAGAGGAAATTGAGTGCGACAGATCTTGCAAGCGCAAGTTAATCTGTGGTCACAAGTGTCCGTCGAAATACTGCGAACCATGCGGAAGCTGTCCATTCCCGGTAATCTATTGCTTTGCATATAAATTGTATACGTTACGTACGATCATTATATTTACCATGACTTTGCAGAAAAAAAAGATGAGTTCCTGCAGCCATATGGTGGAAGTGAAATGCAGCGAAGAACCAACGCCGTCTAAATGTAGCGGAAAATGTCCTAAATTATTACCTTACACCCTTATACTAACAAATGCAAAGAGGCTTGCACTTCAGACTGCAAGGTCTTGGTGTATGGGCACTCATTGAAAGTACCATGCTATCTTCAAAAGACAGGTCAGGGTTTCATGCAACCGCAAATAACTGTTGAAGTTAACATTCGCTTTGATTTCCCATTATAGATCCAAACTCACGACAATTATTGAAGTACTACAAAGCACCGTGCAAAGTCGAATTGGAGTGTAAGCATTTATGCAAAGGAACGTGTGGTTATGCAAAGATTACATATACACACTACCACATGAAAAAGAGTTCAGTTCAGCATCAAACAAATTGATAAGCATCAACAGGTTCACCGACAAATTAGAAGCCGAAGTCAAAAAGGATATAAGCGGCTTGCAGCATTTCGAAAAACTTAAAGTCGAACGCCAAATGATTCACGAGGCAATGGGCTGCAGCAAGGTCACTGGTATAAATGCCCTAACGGACACATTTATATGATAACTGAGTGTGGCGGTGCAATGGAAGTAAGCAAGTGCAATGAATGTGGAGCCCAAATAGGTGGCAGTCAGCACCGATTGTTGAGCAGTAACACCCTGACGACTGAAATGGATGGAGCTACAGACCCGCCTGGCCACACGATCCTAGAGAATATCAATACATGTAACTTGAAGATTATTTTGAACATAATAAATAGTTCGTATTTTAAAAAATGTTGATCGCTAGCTTATGAGTATATTCAATATTATAATTCTTGCTGTTTATAAAATAAAATTGTGCCTTTTGACTATTATTTGTCATTACTCTATTGTTAACTGGACAACATTACAATTTATTTAGAAGAGATAACTAAACAATCCGTGTATATGGGAAAAACTTCAAAATGTATTTAATTTAACCAGTATCATCTTTGCTGCGGCATGTTTGTTGGGGGGCAACGCCAACGTGCCGCCCCTGGAGGTGCAACAGCTGATGGACTTCTGTCGCAGGAGACGTCTTCCTGCAATCATTGGCTGTGATGCGAACGCCCACAATGTTGATCACCGAAACAAACAGGGGGTGAGTGCCTTTCAGAATATACAAGCTGACCCGGCAAACTTCGTTTTGCCCAATTAGATTTTTGATTGAATTATTTTCGAAGGTGACTTAGCATGGTGTGGTTTGGAGGTACCGATATGTTGTGTAAATATAAATCTGTTGGAAAGTCAAAAATTTTATTAGTTTTTTTTACATAAAGCCTCAAAGTAAATTTAAATATGAAAGTTTATTATTGCTTTTCCACACCACCGCTGTGGTTGCAATAAAGGCGCGTTACCGACTTTTTTCTGGTGTCCCGTTCCCCTTGGGGCCTATTTTCACCCATATAAAGCAAATATTCTACATATATATGTACATGCACATTAATAGATAAGAAGAACCATGATGCAATAATACAAGTTGGTATCAGTTGTGAGAGCTCGATTTGACACTGCCTTAGTGCAGTAGAATAAGAAGAAAAACGGGAAGAAATTAGTCCCCATTTGGGGGAAAAATATAAAATTTCATATTTTCTCTCTATACAAGATTTGTTTTTTTATAGTATATTCGTGAAGAAATGAAAGGAAATAAGATAAAATACCTTTTTGAGAAAACGAAATGTGTATATTGGGAAAAAATAAAAAAAATTCAACTATATTATTAGGCAAAGAATTGTTAAAGAAGTAACACTGTTTGACCTAAGGCAGTCAATATGGCGGAATTAGAGCGAGAAGCTGTCAACCGATAACACCTTGTATTATTGCATCATGCTACTTCACTACTTTTATAAATGTTTTATCGTGGTTGAATTAACCCATATCGGCCCAATGTTCGATAAATCGAACAGTGAATTTGACCAGTTTTTAATATTTTTTCTGATCCGTTTTTCAGAAATTAGATGCCAAATTTTTACATAGTTTAATGCCGCGGGACATTTTCTATAATTTAATATATATATATCATTTCAGACATCTTTCTTTAACAGAGGAGAGCGCAGAAAAAACCCCCATTTTTAATATAAACTTAAAAGTACCAAAATAAATAAAACCAAAAAAATAGGAAATAAAATCGGGTACACAGTTTTTTTGCAAATAAAACAATATTAAAATTAAGATTTTTATTTTTTTTCTGAAGTCAATATAATGGGCAGCTCATATATTTGAAGTTAGGTGCTCGATTTATCGAACGCTGGGCGCTACTCAGTTTTTTTGTTATCTGAACAACTTGAAATATTTTTTACCGTTTGTTTGGTTGCCTCGCGATATTTGAGTTGGAATGTTGAAATGCAACTGCTCAAACTTAATATTTGATGATTTGTGATCAAGTAGGTTGAGCCAGAGCAATTTGTGAGAAAAGGTGAAACAGTGTAAAGTGATTTGAAAATGGAAAAACAAAGTGCTGCAAAGTTTCGACATCGTGCTCTTACGAAATCTGAAATGATGGCTATTATTGAAGACTGGAGTGACGATGAAACAGAAATAGCGGCAGTTACAATTATACCACAAGACAAAGTTGATGAAAACACCGATGAAGAAGATTTTGACGATAATGTCATACCTATACATGAGGTGAGTGTATACAAAAGTAAAGTCATACAACAAACATTTGTATTCTATCTCGGGTAAAATTTTGAATAGTCTGAAGATATAGTGGAGTGCGCAGGAACGTTTGAGTTAAATGCGATTGAAAAAGCTACTGGGGTCTATATAGATCATTGTGACCAAGTGGAAGGAGACACACCTGCAGATATTGAATTTTCCCCAGCTTCAACGTAAAACATTCTTCTAAAAGGCAGCGAATCGAGACAACACCGAGACAAACCAAATTTTATAAGCCGCTCTCAGCTTTTGATAAGCCGAAATGGGTACAGCGAAGGAACCCTGAGGGGCTATTCGAATATCACATTGCACCGACAATCGAACCACTGGATGATATTTTTTGATAAAGAAGTTTTCGATATGGTAATCAGAGAAACAAATAGATATGCTCAGCAAAAGAACTCAGATTTCAGGATTGAACACAAAAAGAATTTCGGGTGGAGATCGCTTATTCTCTCATAATGACAGCGG